AAAACATGGTAAGCTTTATGTTAAAGTATACAGTTTAGCATGTATCCACTTCGTTGTGCCACAAATTGCCAGAGTTTAGTTCATTTTGCAAAAGTGAAACTCTATACCTGTTATGTGACATCTGTTTTTCCCTCCCCCAGCCTCTGGTCCTTCACTTTCAGGCCCTCTGAATCTGTACTTTGTATTTTTTTGTGACTAGTTTATTATACATAGCATAATTTCAAGATTCACACATGTTGTAGCATGTGTCAGAATTTAAGACTTAACATTAGTCCAGAGTATATATATATATATACCACATTTTGTTTACTCATTCATCAGCTGATAAATACCTGGGTTATCTACCACCTTTTGGCTACTGTAAATGATGCTGTAATGAACATAGGTGTAGAGAGGCTAGTGAATCTTAACCTTTCATGTGCATAAGAAACCACCTAAGGAGCCTTTTAAAATGCGTGTTTAAGGTCCATCTCCTTACACCTCCAGTTTAGTATGTCTGAGGTGAAGTTTAAAAGTTTTTAAGTACTTCAGGTGATTCTACTGTAGGTAGACCTCTAGTGGTGTGAAATCAGGATAACATCTTTTGCACAGTAGAGTGAAAGCTGGTTTGTACCACCTCTCTGCTTCCTTGCCCGGGGACAACATTAAATGCACCCAACATTTGCATTATAGAGGTCCCAGAAGAAGAAGAGAGAGAAAGGGCCTGAGAAAATATTCAAAAAGATTATGGCTGAAAACTTCCCTAGTAAGGGAAAGGAAACAAGGAAAAGGAAAGTCACCCAAGTCCAGGAAGTACAGAGTCCCATACAAGATAAACCCAAGGAGGGACACAGTGAGACACATATTAATCAAACTGACAAAAATTAAATACAAAGAAAATATACAAGCAACACGGGAAAAGCAACAAATGACACACAAGGAAATTGCTGTAAGGTTATCTGCTGATTTTATACAGCTCAATATCCTGTACTAACCTATACGGGAAAAGAACTTGAAAAAGAATAAATATTTGTATATATAACTGAATCACTTTGCTATGCACCTGAAACTAACACAATGTAAATCAACTACACTCTAATAAAATTAAAAATATATATACTGAACCACAGTGCAAGGCTCATCCAACTTGAGAACAGTGCTGTCTGTGCCAGAGAGGAATCAGAATGGATGACTAGTATCTGTGGTTAACTGAAAGTGTTCACTGATTTGCTGATGAAAACATATGTGCTGCAATTATTAATACTGAATGATGTAGTCTGAGGGACAGATGTCCAAAGCTGTAGGTTTAACCAGTAACCTATTTATTGGGAGATCTCTGTCACCCTTCACAATCAGCTTGCAGTGTGACCTTGGGCTACTTATTTGATCTGCTGAACCACTGTCCTACTTAATAAACTGGAAATGATCTCCAAAGTTTTATGAAAAAGACTATTTCCTAAGGATCACTGGCTGAAGTGCTGGCTCTCCAATGCTCCAATGTGTGGATGGGAGGTTAACTATTTCTAAGAACAAGGGCATGTTGCTATTGCTGAAGTTGAAAAATGGAAGTGTTAGTTGCTCAGTCGTGTCTGACTCTTTGCAACTCCACGGACTGTAGCTGCTAGGCTCCTCTGTCCCTGGAATTCTACAGGCAAGATTACTGGAGTGAGTAGCCATTCCCTTCTCCAGGGGATCTTCCTGACCCAGGGATCAAACCCGAGTGTCCTGCATTGCAGGCAGATTCCTTACCGAGAACTACCATAGTTGAAGTTAGTATGATACATTGAGAGGTAATGGCCAGAAAATCTAACAAGGATTCAATGGAAAAATAAAGGCTGAAATGTTAAGGATTTAGTCCACAAGGTTTCAACACCATGGACATACACAGGTGTGGGGTGTAGTCTAACACAAAGTTGCCTGGATGAAGATACTGATTCCCCTGGAGGGAAAATTATTTATTGCACAGTAAACCTGCTTTGTTCCCAGGAGGCACAGTGGTAAAGAATCTGCCTGCCAATGCAGAAGATACAAGAAATGTGGGCTCGATCCCTGCATCAGGAAGATCCCCTGGAGAAGGAAATGGTAGCCCACTCCAATATTCTTGCCAAAAAACTCCCATGGACAGAGGATCCTGGCAGGTTACATCCATGGAGGCACAAGAGTCAGACATGACCTAGCAACTAAACAACAAAACTGCTTTGCCCTGAATCCAAATAACTATATGTTGAAATAAGGATGTGTATTTTTATCCTGAATATCTCATTTTATGACAAACAGCTCATGTGGTCAGTGAGAGGAGGCCTAATTTCCAGAACCTTTCACATATTTCTCTGTAGACATACAGCTATCCTGATGGCTACCCTGATGGACCTTAGGCAGCAGAAAATACCAGAGTATGTTGGGATCATTAAGAAAAGATGTTTCACTTGGTTCACTGGGAGTGTTAAATCTAACTCTCTAAATTGATGAAAGTCTGTTATCTCAGCATAGAACTTCCAGTTCTACTGGAACCCAAGTGGTAGCCTCTGCAGAGTATCTGAAGGCACTGGCAAATGTGCATGTTTAGTTTAAATGCCAACTGTGCCATTACTGGCTGGTCAAGTAAGTGTCTGAGCAAAGTATTCAGCCATTGTGGGCCATTTCCTTACTGGTGATTTGGAGAAAATACTGGCACCTCCCTCATAGATAAAATGTATAAAGTGCTTTAAATACTACCTGTTCTGCAGTAACTATCCAATGTTAGTTTGTTACTCTTACTGTTGTTTTAATGAGAGTATTCTTTAATTATATAATTATTATATAATTATAGCATTTTCTGGTTTTCTTGGCACTTTTACATATATTTTCTCATTTGAGCTTAATGAGAGACAAATATCATAAATAAGGATCATAAGAATAAAAACATGACTTTCTCATGATCATAAAGCCAGTAAATATTGCTCCTGTGGCCAAATCATCCCTCTCACCGTAGGACGGTACCTCCTTCTCCAGCCATGCTGAATAAATGGAGGACTATTGTAATGTGGCGGTCTGTTCGTGGGGGTCCAGGCAACAGTCACAACACTGAGAGCATTCTGGCTGTTGGGATCGAGGATCACGTTACTCACCTCAAGCTGCACACCAGCAGCGGTGTGTGTCTCAAAGCCCAAATTAAAAGAATCACAGTTGGCAAAGGTTTGCATGGATGACTGTCTGTTTTCACAATGGCAACATCTTTTATGATACCCTTCAATTTCAGTGCCTTCTCCCAATCATGCTAATAAATAAAAGACATGTCATGGAAGAGAGTAGAGAAAATTAAAACCTTTGGAGAAAAGAAATTCTGTTTTGGTACAAATTACCCTCCTGTTAAAACTGAGAAAATTCCCACAAAGATGCAAATAGTTCTGACATCTAGGCAAGTGAAGACCTAAGCAATTGCTTTTTTCCAAAATCTGGATCACATTGTTGAAAGGTGAATGAGCTGGCCCAATAGACTGCAAATGTTAGAGAAGAGAATTCTTGTTAAGCCAGATAGCATTTTCTGTAAAGAAATGCAGAATTTAAGAGAGCTACATAAACACTATCTGGAGAGACAAATGAAAGGGAAATAAAAGCCAAAGAAGGCTTGAAATATTCACTGCTATTTTATAAAACCTGTCTTAACTCATGCTGTTCCTTCAGCTCAAATCCTGTGGTTACTCACTCACATTTTAACAATAGACTACACAGTAACTAGAGAAATTCAAGTTCAAACATAGTCATCGATCTTAACCAAATCAGAAATTTTCACAAAAATTGCTTGTTGTTGTGTATCTTCAATAGTGCTTAAGAAAATAATTATTTCTAGGTTATAAGAGCAGTTTTGACACAGATGCAAAATATTAATCTGTTTTTTTCTCATTTGGCCTCAGGAGCTGGGATGAAATCACATGATTTAATCATTCTGAATCCATGTGGCTCCTTGGAGATAGGGCCAGATGTAACCAGAAGGATTTATAGGGTGTAAAATTCAGAATGGATTAGGAAAGCATTTCTGTGTTCAGCCCAATACATCCTAAATCAACATCCCCTGAATGGACCAGAGCAATCTCTGGCTGACCTAGTGGGGAGGTTGTCATGGCAACTGACTGGCAAGCTCAGCCAGTGGAATGTGACTGCAAACAATGGAGCGATAAGATTGTGTACAGAGCCGAGGACTGAGGCTGCTTCTGCCCAGGTAGTGATGCATCAGTAGAAGCGTAAAATTCTCACTGCATTTTTGTGCCATCTCGCACTTCTGGCAGCTCATTTGAATTTATCATGTCCTTTCCCAGCTGTTGATAAAAACACTGCTGCTGACAGATAACAGAAGCTCTGGAAAATCAGCATCAGTACCTAGATGCAGTGGTATACAAAGCCCTGGAGTGCTGTTAGGTTAACACCACTCAAATTTCCTAAAGGAGGTTGAAGCACACTTAAGGTAAATCCAGTGATTCTTTAGTGCCACCTTGTGTCCAGGGAAATACTGGAAATTTACCAAAAGCTTACCCTCAGATGCTTCACTAGGACAGACATGGAAAAAGTTAGGGATGCACTGTGCTGGAGTTTGGGAGTCCCTTTCACAGCAGAATATGAACATGAAGACTTCTAAGCCTCAAGTTAATGAAAAAATGAAAATAACTTTGGTAGAATCCGAAATGAGGAAAGAAAAAAAGCCAAATAACCCCAGTCTTAGAAAAGATTAGAAGCAGCTACATGGTGATCTAGGGGTTGAGGGAAGAGATGACACAGACTCAACGCTGAGGAGTCTTCATGTTACTATTACCAGCTCTTGCCAAGGTATTTTTTTGTCTAGAGAAGAATAACATGCAACTATCACTAATTCCACTTTGTCCTGTTGTTCCTGGTTCACGGATAGCAATATGTTCACATGACACCTCACACCTATCTCTCACCTAAACCACATCCACCAGTCACTGCCCACCTCCCATGACCATGGCCCATTTAATTTCAGCACACATAGGAAATGATCAAACTGTGTTTCTGTGCGTTTCTTCCAGGATTTGAATTTTTTGAAACAAGTGCCAAGGATAACATTAATGTCAAGCAGACATTTGAGCGCCTCGTGGATATCATCTGTGACAAGATGTCCGAGAGCCTGGAGACGGATCCAGCCATCACTGCCGCAAAGCAGAACACAAGACTCAAGGAAACCCCTCCTCCACCACAGCCCAACTGCGGCTGTTAGTGTCCCCCATACAGGCAGCTCCGGAGGGGTTGGTTGCTAAAAACAGCATTTATAAATGATTGATTAGCCTTCATTTATACTGCCTAATAACTATTTGAGGGAAATCTTTGGTGTCAGTGGCTCGAACATGCATTCAATTCTGGGGAGATTCCCTGTGTTAATATGTGGCAAATATGTGATCTTAACTTTGTAAGGACTATCCATCTATAAACATCTGGTATTTGCATGTGATTTGTTATTTGTCTTCTAGGCTCTTTTTGTTTCAGATTTCTTAGATTAAGCTACTGCTGGGACTTCTGATTATAATTTCATACAACTGACTTTTGTGCCATGGGTTCAAGTTGAGATTCACTTGTAGGTATGATAACTGAGAATTTGGTTGTGTGTGTGGTGTGGGCTGGGGGTGATCTTAGGAGACCTTATTTGCTTTACTCTCAATTGAAAAATCCAGTGGAAATATTACTCATGATTAGGGAGACTGTTGTGAGTCTAGTTGGTTTATGGTTCAAGCATCTATCTTTCAATGTTATTAATAATTGAGAAGATCACTGACTATAAAGAAACAAAAATATTGTTTAAGGCCCTTGAAAATTTCCTAAGAGATGAATATTGACCTGACTGGAACTAGATTTCAACAGTAGTCTTAGTTTGGATGTTTAAAAAAGGAATTCCTAACCCAGGACTGCTCCACCCAACATTCTAAATATTTGAGGGCACTGACAGACTGAAGTATCTGCTGAATGTGTTATATATCAAGCATCTTAATCCAGAATGATAAATGTAGGATTCCAGGGCCTGAGTTTCCCCCATAGCATATACCACCACAACTTTCTGGAACCATCTTCGACCCCTGAAACAGAGGTTAAGTTGAAGCTTGTTAGAGTCTCTCTTCTCACAGGATGTAGACTTGCTTCCCAAACCACTGCCTTCTGCTCACACTTCCCCAGGTTTTTTTCACCTGGTTAGAAGTCATTTAAGTAGTATCTCCATGGTTCTCAGATTGAAGACAAGCAACTATCATCTCTAATCTTTTTAAGTCCAAGTATTTATACTTTTAAGGTATATCCCCATTCTGTAAGCCTAAGGGACTCAAGAGACCACTCTTTAGAGCTGAGGATTACAGAAATATCTTAGGATGCCATAAGCAAATTGAGAAGAGAAAGGAAATCATTTGAATACCCAGATTCTTTCTCCTAAATTTCTCAAGGACCTTATACAGTGAACAAGCAAACCAATCCCACCGGTGAGTCTAAATGAGCAAAAAAGAGATATAGCATCTGTATCACTACCTAGCATTGTTCACAGCTAGGACTTTAAGAAGGCATACAATGGCATATTTGTAAGGACAGTTCCATTAGGTGAACGTTCCTCTCTTTTGGTGATCATGTTAAACTTTGTTTTCTCTTTTTAAAAGTAGAGAAACTTCCCATAAAATGCTGAGTGCAAGATTTTTAAGCCAAGATATTGATAGGGAAAGATAAAGAGGTCTCTGGAGAATAAATGCCTGCAAGTCAGGGAAGTAGATCACATATATTACTAGTAAGTTAGAAGATGAAAATTACAGGAGAAAGCATTTGGGATCTCTTAAGCATATCCACATTTTTATTATGTCTCATCTTCTTAGCTTAAAATCTACTAATTGGCAGTAAGTTTTTCACTTTGGCACTCTGCAGGGTAGGCCTTAATGCAGACAAGACACTAATGCTTTATTAGATTTTAATAGGGCAAACCAGCTTCAAAAATCACAGAAATTAAACTGAAGGGAAGCAAGTGAAGGTGGGGGCCATCAAAGCAGATTTGTTTGCAACAGAAGCCTGTTTGCATGATATTGTAATATTTCTATAACCTAGACTAGAAAATGGTCATGTTAAATAATACAGCTATTAAGCTGACTTTTCCAGTTTAACATGAAGCAATAGAACCAGGAACACCTTCCCATCCCCTCTTAGCCCTGACCTCACATACATACATACAGATGTCAAGGACCTAAATATACTAAATAGGATGTCTCAGATGGCTTCTTCAGAAGGCCCTTGATATGTGTGATATTGTAAAATGGAAAGCAAAATCAGAGGGTAGAAAATTGAAAAGAAAGTTGAGTTTTACCCTCTTGTAAACACTTTTCCCAAAAAGCTAATTTCTATTGGAATTAATTGGCCCTAGAACCAGAAGACCTAACCCAAGTACCCACATATACAATGTCAAACCTACCAAAATTGTGCTACTTTATGCCAGTCAGTGGAGCTTAACACAACAACTGGGCTAGGTGTCAGTGCCGAGGAACATTCAGTAATTTCTATTTTCCAGACCTCAGTGGAAGCAGAGCCTTCCTAATTGATTTGAGAATCAGTCTGAAGCGCTCACCCTGGTGTGAATTTCACCAAGCCAGAAGCTTCCAGAAAGGATTGTCACAGAGCTCAATGAATTAAGCACCAATGCTCCTGCTATATAAACCACATGGAAAGAGAGAAAAATCCTCTATTCCTAATCTCATAAAGAGATCTTGGCTTTAAAATCAAATTTGACAAAAAAAAAGAACCAGTCCAGGATTAACTTGGTAAACTTCTATTGGCATCAAGCTATATTACTTATAACACTATAGTTCCAAGGTTTTTCAGCCTTCTGGCCATCATGCACATGAATGTATATAAACACACACATGCATACAATACCTCCCATATTCTCTCCATCCGCCAACAGCCTGAATAACCACAGATCATTTTTTACAAATTGCCTAACTAAATCTGAATTCAAAAGCACAAAGACATCTTACAAAATGTTAGTGTGTAAATTGTAGACAACCATCTTTTAGCCTCGATGCAGTTCAATTAGTGTTTCAAGTACAGAAGTATTTGTCTTCCTCTGCCACTCATCTCATCACCCCATCTCTCTGATAACTTTTATAAGCAAACCTTGATTGTTTTGAGCAGATATTTCCAAGAGCTTTGGTTTGGGGACTTCCTTTCTGTTCTAAATGGAAATGAAAAATTGGACTGTAAATTATTTCCTCTACATGGTCATTCATGGAGTGGATCTGAATTTCAGCTTTTGGGGATGTGAGTAGACATAGAAGGTACATGGAACTTGAGTCCTAAGACGACAGTTTACGAGTTAGCATGTGTGTCCGGGCTCCTAAGAAGAACTGCTTTAAGTCAGTGAATTCATTCATTGTCACTGCCCTCCCTGAACAGCTTCCACTGCCTTGAACTTCTAACCTCTTCCTCAGGTTCACTTAAAATCATTACCCCCTGCTGTCTAATAAATAAGGGCTAAGATTTTTATTTGGAAAGGGACCCATGATGATGCCTTTGGCTACAGAGAAAGCTGCAGCAGCGTTACATTAAATGCGAACTATAAATTCTATTAAAGTACAACCCCAATTGTACAAGACATCTATATTTGCCACAAACAAATATCTATTTCAGCTACTTAACTCTTATCCAGATTAATTATAGGTCTTTAGTTCAGCACAGTGGTTATCTTTGAGGAACCAACTTAAACTTCCAATTTTAACTATGTTTATGCTGACAATACTTTCAGGGATGAAATGTTTTTTGTTTTTTAAGTAAAACACAGTCTGCTGTTAACTGAACTTCCATGAAACATTAATTTCAGAGCACGGTAGTTGGTAATCGGGGCTCACTGTGATGTGTTTTATCTGATGTGTATCTTCATGCTTGGCAAGGATGCGCTGTGCCATTCTTCAGTCAATCATTTGGCATTGGTGGGACTATATTGAAAATGTAGCCAGACTCTCTGAAGCTAGACCAAGGCAGAGGTAGCAGCTGCATATGGAAAACTAATCTAAGTCTTAAAGTCATAACTAAAACCCTTCCAAGCCAAAAAGTGTTTAATCATTTTCATATGCTATCGGAATGCTCCATCAGCAAGTTTTGGTGGGGTATACTTGGGAGGTGGTCTGTCTTTCTGCCTGAAGAAACCTGCCTTTATAAATGACAGTGCGCATGACTGGAAGCTAGAGTTCTTTGATCCTTTAAGTGTGTGCTTACTCAGCGTGCTGTGTCGGGGTGCCGCGTGAGCAACCAGACCCGTGTGGCCTTTCTGATCACCCCTTGGAAGTGCAGCTTCTCCAGCTCTGCTTGGCTTTGCCCGTTTGAGTAAACTACCTGTGCTTTAGGGGTCTGCCAGCAAAGTGGTGAAATCTTTCTGATGAGCTGAACCATTAGGGTCAGCTTTTTAGAGTCCTTTATATTTTAGGTAGTTTTTGATCAAAGCCAATCAAAGATATAAACCTGTTTTATATTCTGAAACAAACTGGGAAAATGTGGATAAAAAATGAAGCTTATAACCAGGAAAAAAAGTCTTGATTATCTCTACAGTGCACCTACAGGGTTCCAGATTTTCCAAAAACACAGTATCCCCTGTGGGGCGCAAAAACACGTCTGGAGAATTTATTTAAAATACATCCACCTATTGTTACTTCATAAATAAATATTTTTGGTTTCTTAAAAACCTTTACAGGAATTCTTGACATGCTAATCAAATACTTCCCTTAAATGGATTAAGCTATTTACATTTGGGCCACAAGAGTGTTGCCCCTCCCAGAACATACACACTCAAACACACTTTTCTATGAAGGAGAGGTTCCACCTATAGTGCTTTCCCAGTGCCAGGGAAAAGGAAGCTTTACTATGCTCCAGCTGGAACTGGCGTTTTCTTTAAAAAGGCCTACAAAATAGATTCTTCACACTGACTAGATTTGTATGTCTGTGCATAGAACTAATTTCCATTAAAAGGAGAGAATAGAGAGGATATAGTTTGCAAATGTTCTAGGGAAAAGAAATTATTGCAAAGTCTCTGTCAGAGTTTGAGTATTAAAATCAGACCATCAAGACAGTGGACAAATTGAGCTTTATATTTACAGTTCTCTTTTCTAGTTCCTGATTTTTTATCATTTTAATTTTTTCAAGCACTACCCCCACAGAATGACAGGACCAAGAACGGGAAATGAAACTTAAGTTTCACCATTTACCTCCCAT